TCTTGCGAACCGATTGTTGCATCCAGTCGCTTATATTGAAAATAAAATGATTTAAGCAAGTATTTCTTGCATCAGAGATAATTCAAAGTTTGCTAATGTTAACAGCATTATAATACATGCAGAAACGTACATTTTTTTTATAGATATTAAAAATTTAGGCTCTAACCGCTCTATGACTTGTATACTAATAAACTATGTCTATTATAGATTTATAGTCAATAGTCAGTAGGATTTCTGATTTCAAATCGATGCATGCATTCAAAATCAAATTAGGTCCACAAACGCCCCACGGCCAGTGTAGCTGTCAGCTCACCTTTCTTCAGAAGTGTCAGTGTGAAAGCTTTTGCCGGTAAAGGTGTGTTTTACGATCGGTCCGTAAAGTAAAGAAGCGTTGATCGGTTCAAAATGACATATGAACAGGTTCTTTTGAATAACCTATGAGGCTATGGATTGGCACCATGATTACAACACATTAAGGAAGTAGCAAAAAAATAAATGGCTATAAAAAAATCACCGTAGGTATGCGGCGTGGCTGAGGGGGTATTATTGCAGATTAACTACATCCAAAAAAAAGGGTGTTTTTTTTTAATTATATGTTTTTTGGGGTGTAGATTACGAATCTGAAATCCATTTTTGGCGGTCGGCATCGGAAAACCGATTTTTTTCCGACCCAAAAATCGCGCTAAAAATGCCTAAAATCTGCGAAATCGGCGAAAAATCGGAAAACATTTTTGAACTAAAATGTTACCCGTTGCACTGCAACGGGTAACATTTTCGTCTTCTTTGTCCATAAATCTGGAGATACATTGCCACATCGAGAGATCACAACCTAACGCCAACTCGCAGGTTGGGTTGGTTCGCCCAGGTTCCTTTTAGATCAAAATGCTATCTAAAAAAAGCAACTTGGCTGACTTAACCCAACCTAAGAGCTTTTTGTAAAATTTCGATGAACAATCCGACCCTTTATATAAAGGTGAGTGGGTAACGTAAGTTTCGTAACCCCCATGTTAGTAAATAAAGGTGAGTGGGTAACGTAAGTTACGTAACCCCCATGTTAGTAAGTCGCGAAAAAAATCGGTTTTCCGATGCCGACCGCCAAAAATGGATTTCAGATTCGTAATCTACACCCCAAAAAACATATAATTAAAAAAAAAAACACCCTTTTTTTTGGATGTAGTTAATCTGCAATAATACCGGCTGAGGGCTTCAAAAATAGGGGAAAGTCTGAGGCCTGGAACTGGAAGAATTTTGAAGAAATATACTTAGATTACTAAGTACGGTATATTCCATGTCAGTCTTGGGCCAATTTCTAAATAAGCTATGATGATACCTAGTCCCTAGAAGTAGGTAGCTAAATGATTATACCAAAACTTTTTACTATAGTTTCAACGAATTAGGTAGCTAAAAAGTGCAAGGATCAAACTGCACCGCTTGGGCGCTCAAGAGTTTTTAAAGGCGTCTAGCCAGTCTAGGTAGGTACCTTGGCAAAACTAATGTTTCCTGCAGTTTATGTTGGCTCAAAACTAAAACCACGACGAGGAAAATTTTCTTGAAATTGGCCCTTAAACACCAACAAGTTTGTATGGTTGACGAACACCTTCCTCACCCTTACTCTTAGTCCCTAACCCACCACAGACCATAACAAAGTTTTATAGACTCCTTGATACTTTGACAGCTCAAATGTTCTCAAGGCGGATCATTTATTTTAAATAATGACTTTTAAAGATTCGAAACCTAATGGATGATCTTAGAACAGATTTGTTATGAACTACAACATTGCAATCGTAACGAATATTTCTAAGATTTTGGTTGTGTATATATAGCCTAATGAATAAACGCTGAAACTACTAAGATTGACGAAAGACTTTCGTCCTAAGATGATAAGATCGGCGAAAGAGGCATTCGTCTTAAGAAAGTGGTTCTTAATTTACCGGGGTTCGATCGAACCCCAGGGGTTCGGTGAGTAGTTTTCTGGGGTTCGACGGTTTGTTTCACGGGACGTCATGCACTGCTTGGCCATTGGCGTGGTTTGGCAGACGTGGTTTGTGATTTCCCTTTTATCTTGTGATTTCCCTTTTATCTTTCCCGTTATCTTGAACACGCTTGTGTTACATCTATATCTACATGTGTACGTCGCGATCTAGCAACACGCGTGTATTGTATTTTCGGCAACACGCGCAAATTACTTATGCACAAATGTCTTCAAAACTCACGCATTCGAGGCAAGACTGCTAAACAACCCCATAATGTTCCCCATTCAAAGGTGGGGTGATGCATACTACCCCCACTACCCTCGACGCTGTGGCGTCAGTAGTTTGGTGCATTTCGTCTCGTGCGGGATGGCGTATATGTTTGGTTCTCATTGTAAGTGGGAGAAGTTTTTACTGGTGAATAGGAAGAAAATTTTCTGATTTGTTGAATCCAAGAGAATGTTTGGTACTGATGAATGTCAGAGAAATTGTACTGGTGAATATGAGACTAGTGAGAGAATATTTGATACTGGTTAATGTGAAAATATGTTTTGGGCGCATGTATT